CCGGACCCGGAGGGACCCGCATCCTGCTCTGCTCCTGCGCCGGGAGGGGCCCTCATCCCACATCCTGCTCCGGTCCTGGACCGGGAGGGACCCGTCTCCCGCATCCTGCTCTGGTCCTGGACCTAGAGGTACCTGTATCCCGCATCCTGCTCCAGTCCTGGACCAGGAAGGACCCGCATCCCAAGCTGGCTGCAACCTGAACTGGGAGGAATCTGCACCCTGGTGCAGCTGCAGCCAAGCCCAGAGGGACCCGTGCCCCAAACCAGCTGTGCATCCCAGTCCAGCTGTGCCCAACCGGAGAGACCTGCGCCCTGAACTGGTGGTGTGCCTTAACATGGCCGGGCATGCTGCTCCAGCTGCACCCAGAGACAGGAGGGACCTGCACCCCGAACCAGCCATGCACCCCAAGCCAACTGCACCCTGAACCAGAAGGGTCCTATACCCCAAACTGGCTGTGCACCTCAAACTGGCCGCGCCCTGAATCAGGTGAGACCTGTGCCCTGAACCAGCTGTGCACCCCAAACCAACTGTTCCCTGAACCGGGACATACCCACGCCCGGAACCAGCCATGCACCCCAAAATGGCTGCACTCTGAACCAGAAGGGACCTGGACCCCAAACTGTGTGCCCCGAACTGGTTGTACCCTGATCCTGCTGCACCCTAAACCAGGAGGGACCTGCACCCCAAAGCATCTGTGTGCGTGGTCGGGTTGCGTCGTGGTGCGATGGATAACGCTCTGCCGCTGGAAGCAGAGCTGGAGCACCAGCAGCTGCCCAACGCTTCCCTGAACGAGTCCTTCTCAAACCAGTTCGTGCAGCCCCCATGGCAAGTGGCCCTGTGGGCTGTCGCCTACGCCCTCATCGTGGTGGTGTCGGTGGTGGGGAATGTGGTGGTGATGTGGATCATCCTGGCTCACAAGAGGATGCGCACCGTCACCAACTACTTCTTGGTGAACCTGGCTTTTGCCGAAGCCTCCATGTCCGCCTTCAACACAGTGGTGAACTTCACCTACGCCATCCACAACGAGTGGTACTACGGGCTGCTCTACTGCAAGTTTCACAACTTCTTCCCCATCGCCGCCGTCTTCGCCAGCATCTACTCCATGACGGCCATCGCCCTGGACAGGTGAGCTCTGAGCGTCAACCCCCAAACCCTTCCCGGCACCCAGGTCTGCCTCCACCCGGGTGCTATGCTCGGCTCTGTCTGATCTTAATGGGAGAACGTTGCAATTAAAATAAAGTTCATTTCGGTAAAAGAGGAGAGGGCTAGAAATAATCCCTCTCCCCGCCCTGGTTGCAGGTGGCTTTGGGAATCCTTTGTCAGCTCTGCGAAAGGAGCTCGATAAAAGGCTTTGTAACCCCCGTGTGTGTCGGTAGCGTGTCTTGAGTGTGCATTTGTAGCACCGCTGTCCTCTCCCTTCCCAGCTCCTCTGCAGAGCTGTCCCTTCCTTTCCCAGCCTCCTCATTTAAAAGCAAACTTGATATTTAGCACAAAATGGCATCACCTCATGACACAAAACACATGCCTGTGCTGGACGTGCCTCCGCTGCGCTGCAGGAGCGGTTGGTTTCTTGTCACTTGAGCTGCATTGGGAACTGTCTAAGGAGTCTCGGAGAGAAGCTTGGGCTCAGGAAAGGCATCTTGACTTGGTGGGTGTGTGTTGTCGCATTGCATGCCAGTGTGTGTCCCCCACAAGCAAAAACACCTTGATTTTATTAGTGAGGGTCAAGGGGGAGAGGTAGGTGCCGGGGATTTCTCTCGTTTGGCTGCAGCCAGCACAGTTTAGTTGGGTTTTGTCCCAGTGGTTTCTGCCGGTGCTGCTCAATGACTGGGGACTGCCGGCGGAGCGAGAGCCCGCTTGCGTTCTGCCATGATCAAAAGTTCAGACAGCGCTTGGTGGGGTGCGATGGCACGGGGGATGCTGCCTTTTTCACCGCAGAGGGACGAGCCGGGGGTCGAGGGACACAAAATAACCATGCATCAAGCACCTCCAGCTCACAGCTCCCCTCTCTTCTCTCCCCCTCCAAGAAATCTTTTATTTGATGGCATTTTCACACCAGCGCTAGAGATAAATCAAGGCTCTCAAACAGCTTTGTAATTTTCTCTTGAGTACCAGCATTTCAAGCGCAACAGATTTTTCCAACGCAACATATTTCCCGAAGACAGCTCGGCTCTGCAACACCTCTTTTGGGTCCTTCTCAGGGAGTAAAAGACATTTTGGCTGGGGATACATGCGAAAGAGGGGGGTTGGGGAGAGATGTGCATTGCCGTATGCCAGCACATTTTGAGCCCGTGTCTAAGTGCGGCACAAACTGGCAGGGATATTTCCCTGTGAGAAATTCTATACACACAACTCACGCACTGACAGCTTGGGAAACGGAGCTAGAGATGGCTGATGCTCTCTAGTCGTTAAAATCAGGCTCAGGTTTTGTTTCACTCTGGAGTGGTTACAAGACCGTCTCTCCAAAATAAATTGAATGTAGCCAAGTTCTCATACCAGAGATACGAGGAGAATTAAGGCAATAATAAATAAAAAGAGGAATACTACCAGCGTGGCTTTGTTCCTACCCGATGGTGTGGCTGGCTCTGTTTCGGGAGCATCTGTGTTTTGAGGATGTTGGGGATCAGCCGGCAAAGCCTCTTTCAGGTTAGGATGAATTAGAGAGATGATTTTTTTCCTTTAAATAGTTTGGGTTTTAGCCTTCGGTCCACAATCCACACCCTGGAATAACCAGAAAAGCAAATCTGCCAGGGGAAGCTGGAGCAGCCTGTGTAAAATGGGGAGCAAAGGCAGGTCTGGGAGCCTGGGGCTGAATTTTAAGGGGGGAATTGACATTTCGAGCTTTCTTCTTGCATCTGCAAAGCCTTAACGGAGGCTTGGTTTTCCCATGGCTGGGCTGCAAAACCCCTGCATGCAGACTTGGCTCGCCCTCCAAGAAGGACCCAAAAGAAGCTGCACCCTGGGTGTGCGAACACCTCCTACACACAGCTACTTGCTGCATTTCTTGGCCCCAAATTTCCAACGAGGTGGGAAATTGGGAAGGTGAAGGCAGCAAAGCCCATATCCTCTGCCCCTCCAGGCAAGCAGCACGCAACAACATCTCCAAGCATTGGAAAATTGTTTGTTTCCCTGTTTCTGAGACCTGACAATAGCAACTTAAATGCATGAAATGCAGGAACTTGTTCCAGGAACCCAAAAAAGGAACTATTTGTCCTGGCAAGCAGCAAAAAGCTGTGTGGGAACAAGGAAAGCAAGTACCTGAACTTGGAGCAGCAGAGCCAGGTAGGCTCAGCAAAATGGGTTATATTCACAGCCAGGACATACCTGAAATCAAACATGACTGCAGGTCTGATTTTCATCAAAAACTCAGGAAGCAGAAATGAAGGTGCCTCGTGTTCCTGAATTAAGCCATCTATCAGAGCGGTTGAGCGTGGAGTCTGAAGGCTCGGAGGAGCGTCAGCCTGCAGATTGCTCCCCTAAATCATCTCCGTTTGTGCTTTCTGCAAGCAATTTCCAGAACGTCCTCGCCAGTGGATACAAAACCACCTTGGAAAGACTCGGCACAACCATAACAGAGTCGTTGAGAGAAAAAGTGGAGAAGTGGGTTTGAATCTCCCAATGGCTTTTTTGCAGGACCTGCCGTGAGTTTGAGCAGAAAAAAAAAAAGCTTTTGCTTGAAGCTAGACCATCCGCTCTTTCACCAGGACCTATTTCAGCCTGGGCACAACCACTCTGAAAAAATAAAAAGTTAATGCTATAGCAAGTGTTATTCTGAACACTGCAACAATAGCAGGAAATTCAGGAGTCAAGGCTGGCAGCTGGTAAAGTCTGCTCAGCAAAAGCCATGATGCTGCTTCTTAGCATCCTGCAGAAGTGGGGGCCAAACAGCTCGCTTTGGCACAATAAAATTTGCCCAGTCCTTTATTTTTGAGCATATCGGTGCCAGAGTACATCACATATCCCTTTCTGGCTTCAAACCATCCCTGTGAATTAATTCACTTGAAAGAGAGAGACAGAAAATCCTGTATTTTTCCAATCTTCCATGAAAAGTGAGAGCCCAGCAGTGCCCATGGTGAGTCCAAGTTAATTTGCAACCATACTTAGAGAGAGAAAAAAACCCACAAACCTTCTGGACATCCCTCAGAGGCTGTTGCAGTATCTATGGCACATGGGATGGAGCACTGTTGGATAAACTGTTGACATTTTCTCTCTCCTTTGGACCTGGATTCATTTCTGAGCACCACCGTTAGCAAAATTCAGACAGAGGAATGAGTTTCCTTAATGACAGACAACTGAGAATGCAGCTGAAGGTGAAGATCCCGGATTACTTGCAGAATCAGAAAGAAAAAAGCATCTCTGATTTCAAAACGTTAAGCGAGCTAAGCCAAAAACACCGCAGACTGAACAAATCCTGATGAGAAGGGTGAGAGCCCCGCCATGAACTCAGGGTGAAGACAGACTGTGCAGCACTTGGGCTATTAGACACAAAGCAGAGTCCTCTGCTCTAAAGCAGCTGTAAAAGCGACGTAAGGTGGGACTAACCTCCTGCAACTCCTACACCAACTTGCTGCTTTTGCTCATTAAAAGAGCCCCCTCTCCGACCTCCACCAGCACCACCGCTGCCAGGCCAGCACGCAGGGCTCAGCAACCAAGCTGGGATCTTCTTTACATTCCTTTTTTTTTAATTTCCAAATGGCTTATCGAATTATATTAGGTGCCTTAAGATCCATCAATTTGCCAGCGGGAGCTGCAGAAGAAACATCAAATCTGCGAACCTTCATTCACCACCGCGGCTCCTAAAATTGCTAGTCTGCAGCCGAGACCTGTTAATATCTCCCCAACCCCGTATTATTTGCAGCAGAAAAACTGGCTCGGAAAATTATTTACTGCTTGCAAGCTTCAACTCCCAGGTTGGACGAACCAGCTGAAAATTGGAAACGTATTCAGCAGCTCAGCAACCCTGTGCCTTCCCCGAGAGGTGATTACTGCAGAAAGAAACCCTCCGGAGAGGACAAATTACATCAGCGCACAGACAGATTAATTAGTCATTTACACCCTAATATAGCACCAGTTGTTTGGGTTTTTTAAAATCTTGACTTAATGGACTTCTGGGGTTTGCAGAGTAGGACTTCGATCTGCACTCGGTGCTGCGTAGTCTTGCTCTGCTGGGATGTAATTTGGAAGACGGAAGAGCAAGGGGGAAGAGAAATGAGCCCACGTTTAGGGCCAGCATCCCCTGCGGCATTGCCTACGCACCCGCTAGCAATAACCGAAGCAGCTTTTTTTTAATCAAGCATCACTGGACGCAGCAGAAGCCCTACGGAGCTGCTGGATACCCAGCACGGAGCTGGCTGGAAGCACTGATTGCCCAGCTGGGGTTCGAAAGCAGGGGCACGGGGATGGACATGGACATGGACATGGACAGCCTTAGTAAGGGGCCACTCATCAAGGCGGGTTTATGCCCCTGCTCCTGGCAGTAATCTCTGATCTGGTGGGTATTAACAGGAATTAATCCCTCCCAATACCCACTAGATATGAATTCCGCCTGTCAAAAACTAAATTACATCTTCCCCCTCCTTTCCTTTGGAAAGAAGAGGAGGCTTGAAAGTCCCATGGCAATAAATACAGAACGAAGATGAGTTAGCCACAGTTTGGTGGCTGGGAGACGCAGGAGATTCAGGTTTTAGATATGCTTTTGGGGTGATCGCGGTGCTCACGGGCAAGCTGGGCGCTGCTGCAAGCCACCGTAGGAGTTTGAGGGCCTCTGGTGAAATACTGGGTTTATCTGATGGCTTTCTTAATTTATTCCTTAATTTATTCTTAATTCCTCAATGGCCCAGCGGGAACCACCCATGCACTAAGTGCGCCAGGCCTCATGGGTCACCAGCCCTGCATTTCGTGTGGTTTTTGTGCTCCCCCTTCACTCTGCAGCTATAAACCAAACCAGTGCCAGGACTAACTGGTTGATAAGGTCATATAGGTGCCTCGACTAACAGCATCTGCAGAATCTCTCAGCGGGGCTGGGTTGTGCTTTGGGTCCTCCTCTCCCATTCCACTCCTGCAAATGCAGTGAATGCAGGAGGGAGCTTTCAAAACCGAGCGTGCCCATAGGGTTTGCAACACAAGAGGTGCTGTGCAGGAAGGCAGGGGAGTTTGCAAAGCTGCCGGCGTAATTCAGGTGACTGTTTGCTGGTGGGTAACGCGTCCTTTTCCATTGTGCTCGAAGGAAATACCGCACCGCTTTCAAAAAGGAAAGATGATGTGCCATATCGGGGAAACGCCGGTGAGAAACCTGCAGCCTCCTGCCTGATGGACGCTTTGCCGAGCGCTGAGCATCCCGCAGGTCTCGGGGCAGGAGCGCGCTGCTCGTCTCTCAGTTTGGATGGTCACGGGTTTACGTCAAAGCAATAAATAGGAAGAGGCAGCTGCTTGCGGCGCCTTCGTCCCCAGCGTCGTTTTTCAAGCACGCAGGGCTCAGCCAGCCTCCTCGGCCGTCATCCAGATACGAGGTATTTGGGGCCAGCGCGACGAGGCCAAGCTTCGCTATGCAAACCTGTTCGAGGGGCGGTGCTTTTGCATCCACGCTTTTGTGACGCAATCCTCACAGAAAGCAAAAAGGCAGGTTTTTTCCTACAGAGAAGTTTTTGTTTCTTGGGTAGGAAGGACGCCGAGCTGTGCTGGAGGTATTTGACCCGCCTAAATCCGGGGCATCTGCTCTGACTTGGTTGCAAACTCCCCCGGGACTGACCCTGTACTAAATCCCTCTTTGCTCAGGATGGGAAATCGCTGCGCAGTAAAACGCGCAGCGCAAACTCTGCATCTTTTCGGTTACTCATCTCTTACCTGTCATATCCTTATTACTTAATGAAGCAGCGAAGGAAACTCTGAGATGAAAGAATTTTCTTCATAATTTTTTGCTATTATATTAATCTCATCTCCATGAGGGTGGAAACTATTGTGTAATGTTAGTTATCCAGGCAGACTCCAGATTTCCAGATGCAATTAATAGATGGCTACACTGCCTCAAATGTACTATCTAGTTAATACCTGATACGCTTGGAGCTACCCTGGTACAACCTTGTACTCAAATGCTATTGTATCATCACGGTAACATGCCCTCCAAAACGCAATAAAATATTTAAACAACAGCGAACGGCATTACCAACATCATCGAATAGCGCCTGGTGTAAAGTTGTGTGCTTTAGTGCCACGCCTGTTAAATACGGTGGATTTAAAACATTAAACATGGTGCAAGGTAAAACGCAGCTGCAAGGTCATCGGGTCTCTCCTGCAAGGAGCTGGGCAACCCCCAGCTTGCAAACCTTGATGAGGGTTTGCACTCAAATGCGGTGCTGCCGTCCTGAGAGCCGCTGCTGGTCGTTTTATCCGGAGGAATGGGGATCACTAAGTCTTCCCAACCCAACATCTTCTGCAGAGAAACGGCCCCGTTTCCAGTGCTATCCCCGTGCACCGCCGGCACGGAGAACAAAACCTTTCCCTAACGTGGGAAATCTGCCCTTAAACCCTCAACCGAGAGCCAATTCCCTATGAAAAATCAGCAGATTCGTCACCCACCGTGGTGGCGAGGGCAGGATGCTCACGTGGGACGTACTCCTCTTCCTCACCTCCCGCGAACGACCAGCTGCAACACCCCGTTTTTTTATGGATGGGAAAACCACCCTCTTGAACGTCAGAGAAAAAAAAATAAGTCTCTAACAGGATATAGCATATTAGGGATATCGGCAGAGTGGGGCCACAGAGGCACTTTGCCAGGAGAAATACGAGCTAATAAACTCGTTAGCCTTGCTTTCGAGAGCCCGCTTCTTGCCGGCGCAGCTGGGACTTGCGTGACCGAGCCAAGGAGGGCAGTGGCTTCCCGGCACTTAAGCTCCGATCGATGCCTTTTGTGCCCAGCGCTGCAAAACCACGCACGGGGCCAAACACCCGCCAGCACCTTACGGACACCCCGGGACACCGCAGCTGCATCCTGCGCCTGCGCTCTGCATTTCCATTTGAATACAAATTTGCTGGTATTAATAAAAAATAAATGGATTGGCAAGTTTTTTTGGCTGAAAGGCAAAGTCACGATTGACATGTCATTTTTCTTCCCTGCTAAGAAGTGATTGATGGAGGTTTGGCTGCAGCATCTACTGCAGCCTAGCCCGGGAGATCGAACCTAGGTGGAGGGGAGAAGACAACCTGGCAGTACCCGCGGCACGGCTCCGCAGCACGGGCTTGCTTTTCTGCTTTGCATTCACTTGTTCAGAAAGAAGGTTTTATTTTAGGTTATCCAAAATCCCATCATAGAAACGCACCACTGGGGAGGGTTTGTCTCAAAACCGAGCTGAGTTGCAAGCAAGCAAAGTCGCTTTTTGAGACCCGTGTTCTGGATGCAAAAAAAGATCCAGTGGTGGTCAAAAGAAAAACAGAAAAAAAAACCCCAAAAATTCAAAGACAGGAATACGCGCAAACCTATTGGGTAGAGAAAAATTGAATGTCCGACCCATCTGCAAGGAAATGAGAGTTATTTGAGTGTGGTGGACCCAGTGCTGGAAGAAGGTGAAAGCTGCTTTGCTCCCT